TTTACATCCTTGATACATCAAGTTGACAGACAGATTGCTCAGAGAATTGGCTGAGGAAGTAAGAGAGGTTCACCTCTTCAAGTCAGGGACTATTAAGCCCTTGGTTTTGAAATGGGTTCACTCATTAATTAGACATAGCTTAACATAAATAACTGAGTCACTAAATGAACAGTATTTAAGAAAAGCTATTATTTCCCACTGATAAGCAACTAAAATAATAGTTATCTTCAAAGTCCACCCGGCAGGCTGGAGCTCAGAGGACTAATAATTCTTTGAACACAAAGAATTCTGACAGGATGCATCTAAATAAGTTTCTGCCAACTATTAACAGACATCCTTGTCCATAGTAGCGTAGTCAAATGGAACAGAGAGTGAAGGGAAAGGGGGTCACTCTTCTTCCTGATACTCAGGACAGATTAGAAGACAAGATTTCTCTAGTAGGAAAATATAATAGTTTTACTTTAGATAATTTTAGTGTAATTTAGAGTGATTTCTTGCTTCTGTTTATCAAAAATTTGACATGAGCAGTTGAAGGGCTCTGAACTTTTAGCATGTCCCATCATTTGCTTATTTTTTCAAGACCGTAAATAATACATAAAAAGGTCCTGTGAACTGAAATGCCTTCAAACGCAGTGTTCCGGGTGCCACCACCACCTTTAATCCTAGCACTTGGGAGGCAGAGCCAGGTGGATCTCTGTGAGCTCGAGGCCAGCCTGGTCTACAGAGCGAGATCCAGGACAGGCACCAAAACTACACAGAGAAACCCTGTGTCGAAAAAATAAAAACAAAGAAACAAACAAAAAATTTAGTGTTCCCTTAATTATAAGACATGGTTAAGCTTCAGACACTTCACACAGATTTTGAGTTTGAAGCTGGCTAATTTGGTCCAAGAAATAAGGATGAGCTGTGGGCCTCCCTTCTGCATCCTTGAACTCCAAATTAGCACTCAATGAACCGTTTTCCAGATCAAAGAAAGAAGTCAGCTCTGCCCTGTGCCAAGGAGGCACTAACACGGCCCCTTCCCATGGGTCCATGTGCTTTTCTATTATGTTCTATTACAACAGATTTTGCTCAGAACGCTAATGAAGTCCTCATTTTTGTTCTTCCATATTTACTCCACTTTACATCAGGCTCTTCTTTGGTCTGTGTTCAAGGGCAATTCATGGTTAGGATTATGTCTTAAGCTACTTTCCCACAGAATGGTTTTCGTGTATTTGAGGCTGTGACGTGCTGTAATCAGTACATGACCTGGAGAACATACTGGAGGCGACGCCAGCCACTCATGATGACTGACCCACTTAGGTGGATGAGTCTGTAACAGGACTAAAGGGGACTCTAAAAGCAGTGAGGACAACAGCATTCAAGACATCCTTGCTCTTGTAACTGTTGGTTACAGTTACCTCTTGACTGGATATTCATCTGCTAGAGAGCCAGTGCTGGCCCCGACTTCCAAAATTAGTTAACTCGTGAGGAAAAGTCATTCAGGTCCTGTAAGCCATTTAATCAATTGTCCTCCCTAAAGGAAGCTATTTTTCTTCTGTTGGAAGCCCTTAACCTATTCTAAGTTTACAACGAAAGAACTACAAATAATACAGGACTTTATTGGGATATACAGATTAACAGTACTCTCCTATTAGGCATAATTTTAGAGAAAAAAAGGTTTTCTATTTTTTTTTTTTTTTTTTTTTTTTTTTTGGTTTTTTTCGAGACAGGGTTTCTCTGTGTAGCTTTGCGCCTTTCCTGGAACTCACTCTGTAGCCCAGGCTGGCCTCGAACTCACAGAGATCCGCCTGGCTCTGCCTCCCGAGTGCTGGGATTAAAGGCGTGCGCCACCACCGCCCGGCGGTTTTCTATTTTGAATAGCAATGATGAAAAACCAAGTGATCATTCCAAAGAAATACATTATTAAAAAATGCGTTACCTGAGTAAGAAGTTAAGAGTTTTAAAAATATACACAGGTCAATAATTCAAATTATCAGTTTATCTTCCAAAATTCTGAACATATCTTATTATTTTTATTTTCTGCTAGTATAAAAGAACACCAGCCAAGCATGGTGGTGCACACCTTTAATCCCAGCAATCCTGAGGTAGAGGCAGGTGGATCTCTGTAGGTTTGAGGCCAGCCTAGTCTACATAGTGACTAGGAGCTAAGGCTTCACAGTGAGGCCTTGTATCAAACAAAACAAAAGACCTCAAACCACAGAGTGGGTATTTGTATTGCACAGACATCTGTGGTTCTGTAGCTAGTACACCCAAAATGTGGTGCTAGCACGCGGTGAAGCGCTTGATGTTGTTTCATGCCATTGCAGGAAGTGGAAGGGAGGAAAGGGTGCAAGAAGCTCAAACTCACATTCCTAACAAACCCCCTGCTCACTAGCTCACTCTCAGTAATGACAGGAATTCAATCATTCATCCATTCATGAGGGTCCCTCCCTTAGGACCTCATCACCTCTATCAGGCCACACTTCTCAACTGTGCAGTGTGAAAATTCAGTTTCCACCACATAAACTTTGAAAAACTCTCTTCGGCTGTATCAATCAATTGATACTAGGCTCTAGACATTTTACTAACTTTATAGAAATGTCACGATGCACTATCATATCTGTTTTGAGACTGGAAAAGCACAACTGTCACCCTCTTACTAATGAAACAAAAGGTGAAATGATTTGCCCCAAGTCCAGAGTGAAAAAGGCAGGCATTAAATCTGGGTCTGCATCCAAAGTTTGTTTTTATAATCTCTACTCTGCAGATAGAACAGACAAGCAAAATATTTGCCTGTGTGCACGAACAGAGCCACATTTCCAAAGAAAATATTAACATCCACAGTTTGATAAAAAAAAAACAAACCTTAGCTTATTTTAAAATTTGATTTACATAAAACCTTTTAAAGGACAAGAAATAGCATCTAGATATTTAACCAAATATTCAACAACTTTTATGGTTTAAACTTAAATCGGAAACAAAACGGATAACGCGAATGAGATCTCTAACACCAGAAGAGAGTATGATTAATGAAAGGGATAGCCCTCAAAGCAAGCGTTAAAAATTATTCCAAGGGCTGGAGATGTATCTCAGTGGTGCACCAGTTGTCTAGTGTATAGACAAAGTCCTGGATGTGATCCTCCCCTCCCCCCTGACCTGAGTTTGCATCCCATGAACAAGGTCAGCTATGATGGTACATGCCTAATCCCAGTACTGGGGAGGCAGAGAAGGGAGGATTCCTGGAGCTCACCAGACAACCAGCCACTCCCGACCCCTCACCCCCCACCCCTGCCCATGGTGCGCTGCAGGACCAGCCAAAGACTCCATCTCAGAAAACAAAATGGAGAACAATTGGGGGAGACAACTACTGCTGACCACACACACACACACACACACACGCACACGCACACACACACCCCAGACACAGAAAAGGATTAACTTCAAGTGAAAAATCTTAATAGTTTGTGAATAGACTTATCTCTTCTCGTTTTTTTGAACAAGCAAGCTTTTAGAATGTAGCTTTCCGATTACAAAGGCCCATACCTAACTTCCTGTCAATTAAATGTAGTTCTTCCTCTTTCTTGCCTTAGAAATGTTGGTGGGAGTGCTCTTGCTCCTGGCCCCCCAACCCAGGGAGTCTCTGTGTGTGTGTGTATGTGTACTAGTTCTTTATAGCAGGAAGACAAATTTATCCTGGAAATACTATAATGGTTTCCATATGTTTTTTTTTCTAACATCAAAATGTGGTGATAGTTAGATATTTATCTTTTAAGTGAGAATGATGTCATTCCCCTTGGTGTTTATTGACACAAAACTTCCTTTTGTCCAAGAGAATTTTCAGTATTGTGACTATGGCTTTAGTTAACAGATACACTGATCACTTGTTGGTCTTGTCACAGAGAAGGTCTGTGCTTTCTTGTGTGGCCCGCTTTGTGAGCAGATCATAGTGAACATATGAATGACCACTGGCGATGTGCTGTGCTCTGTATTTTCTTGTCCATTTCCGAATGCCACTGAGAATCACTGCTCAGAAAGTTCTGTGGGAAAAGTACGTTTCAAAGTATAAAGGAATTTGGATTCACAACCTATTTTAAGAAGGAAAAGGCCCTATTGCGTCGTGGACAGTACAAATAATTATTCTTACCTTTACTCAAGAGGCTAAATCTATGAGTGTCATTTTGAAACATAAGAAATTGCCTTTTGAGTTTAAGGAAGTCACTCATTGACTCAGTTCCTCTATTTGCTCACAGATTTTAGGCCAATTTTCAGGAATCATACGATTCAAAATATAGATCAGTGCTGTAAAATCTGAAGCGTTCCGTGTAGATGGAAATCGTCTACATCATTATTTGGGTCTGCTTTCTTGTGGTATCGGAGAAAACCTAAATTACAGTGGTGGTGCGGGGAGAGCACTCTAGTTCAAAATCTTAACTACTCCACAACCACTGAATCGTGTCATTCTTAGTTCCCCATTCACAGACTAGGTTTAAAAACGCAGCTTCTGTCGTTAAGTGGGTAAGCACCAGCCGCAGAATGTGTTGCCCAGTTTAAAAATAATCCATAGATCTGAAACGATGCGGAGAAAGGCAAGTTCTCTGTACAGAGGATCTGCCAACTTGTGAGAGCTCTCGCCCATCTAGAAACCCAGGTCAAAAATCTGCTGACGTGGGAAAAAGTGGAGAGAAGTGCCCCAGGACCGCTACCCGAAGCACAATGGCTCTCCACATTGTTCGGATACTTATTTGGCTTCTGCAAGCGTCCGGCTCGCTCGGAGCAAGCCGCAGCCCCCAGCCCTTCTTGCGACGACGGTCCTAGTCTGCTCGCTCGTCCACTCTCCGGGGCGGGCCAAGGTCACTTTCGCCGCGGCCCCGGCGCACCGGTCAGCTGAGCGCGGGAGCCTGGCGTCTCCGCCTGAACTTTGCACCCCGCGTGACGAGCGCGGACAGCCGGGCCGCTGCGCCACCCGCGCGGGTCCCGCTCGTCCCCTCGCGCCGCCCGCCCGCCCGCCCGCCCCGCGCTCCGCGGGAGGAGCCGCCGTGACGCGTCAGGGAGGAAACGCCGGCGCCCGGCCGCGCCGCCGGGAAGGAGGAACCGCCAGCCCGCTGGGCTCCGCGCCCGGGCGCCCGGACGCCGCGCAGCCGGGTAGGTGCGGGGCGGGTGCGCGGGGCCGCGCGCGGCGGGGTCGGGGGCCGGGGCTCCTCGCCTCGGGCCGGGCTCCCCCCGGCGCCCGGAGCCCGCCACCGCCGGGCGCGCGGTCTTTGTGTCCTCGGGGCGAGTTCGGCGCCGCGGCGTGGAGCTGGAGCGCGTGGGTGGACGCGGGGAAGACGCGCGGTCCCCCCGGGCTGGGCAGCGGGCGGGGACGATGGCAGAGCCCCCCTGCATGGGGATGTGGGTGACCTGCGCGGACCCGCGTGGGGCGGCTGGAGCCGGGAGGTCGCCGGCGGGGTTAAGTGGCCGTCCTGATCGGACAGGACCGGAACGTGTCGCCACTCTCTGCAAGTTCTCAGATTCGAACCCTTCGGGTCTGCTCGCTGCGGGTCTGTTTCTGATTCGCACCGTGTCAGCACTGACATGTGCCGCCTCAAAAAGCGACCTGAGGTTTTTGGTTCTCGTCGTTCTTGGTGATGGTTCTTTGCACCGATAGAAAAGAGGTGTCCGTCTCCTGAAACAAGTCTTTGACTTAATTTTGCACCGAACGCGAACATCTGCAGGAAGAGACTGTGCCGGGTGCACTTGAGAACCGAGAATAAACACAGAACCCTCAAGTCTCAGTATCTTTTGTGGGGGTGAAAAACTAAACAAAACAAAACCCCGAACTGCCTGTTAGGTGCTTTGATTCAGCTCTCCTCACTAAGTTGAGTGTTTACCCGACAGGCCTGGAAAGTGCCTGCTTTATTTACCAAGCACAGCTCTTACTATGAACCGGGCTGTTTCCTAAGTGCTTTATAAATATACCTCAAACTCTTAACTCAAAATATTAAATTATAGCGGTGGTAGCCATGAAGAGGCCACGCACGCCTTAGTTCCCTGAATGTCATAGAAAGAACCGCAAACAGTAGAGGAAGTTTCAGACATATTTTAGGAATGGGTGTGCCTTCTGCCCCCTAGGCTACCACTCCCAGAAGACAAGTTATTACCCCTCATTCCCTGTGGGTTGCCAGCCTGGAGAAAAGAGACCTGTTGCTCACAGGCCTCAGGCTAGAACCCACATAGCTTCAGAAAGGTGGTCGCTGTCATTTACCCTCCTGCGGCTAACACTGACAACTCAGGCAGGCATCAGAAGTTCCCTTTCTTCAAACTGCCTCTGTGCGGAGCCTAGTTTTGTTTTAAAAGGAGCTTTGTCTCCAATCTGTTTGACAATTCATATGACCGTGGCTCAGATGGGAGCATCAGATTAAACTTGAACTGTGAATGTTTTTGTTTGTGCATATTAAAATAAACTGTGTTTGGCAGGTTTTTTTTTTTTGCAGTTCATTGCTGGTAGCACTGAGTTGGTGGATGTATCCTGTAAGGTGTCCATTTTGTGACTTGCAGCTTGTATATAGAGAGGATTATTTTTTTCAGAATAAAATGACCTTTTCAAATGAGTGTTGGGCCTGGTGTCTAGATAGCAAAGGCCTAGAATGCAGAATAAGTATGGTTGACATAGTTTTTGGTACTGTGGTATTATAAATGTAGTATCAGAATATTCTTTCGCACTCCCTGTCTCTTGCTTCTTTTCCTTCTTGTATATTTTCATGTGCAGGGAGGTAACTAAATGAGTTGGTAAGCCTGATGTAATAGGACTATGAAATGTGGAAGCATGGAGGCTCTCCCTCCTCTCAAAAACACAGACCTTGGCGTTTACACAGTGCCTTAGATGGACTCGTTTGTCTTTAGAAAGACCTGGTGAGGTCAGCAGCCATTTAAAAAACTCCCCTTTGTACAAGTAAAGAAACCGAGGCAGCACACTGTTGACTGGCTTTAAGCCCTGTTTGCAGAGCTGACGGGAGGGTGAGCTCAAATGGAATAGTTGTATAGACGGACAGAGCCTGGCACGTGCAGGCCTGTAGTAAATATTTGTGGAATGAATGACTTCAGATAGTTTGCTCTTTCAAAACACACCTCCCCAAATACCATTGTAATTGATTTGTGCTGGAGAGATTTCCAGGCCTAATCCAATGCCTCTCTTATTTCAGACAGTATCTGATACAATACTTTTCCTATAAAATTGGGACAAAGATGCTTCTTAGACTCAGGATTTATCATCTTTTGTTTTTGAAAAAGAAATTAGCTTAGTGGTGGTTTTCCTTTTTCCTTCTGTCAAACACCCTACAAATGGTGTTAGTGTTTGTGCTGACGGCTTTGTTACACCCATCTCTAAGGTACTCTGATTTTTGATTGAGTTCAAATACAATGATCAAAGATATTTCTCTCTCTTTTCTTTCTGAAGTGTCTGATATGGTGAGTGTTTTTATGCTAATTACTTTAGTATAAAGTGTCTTCTAAAAAAGCAAAAAAAAAAACTTTATTTATTTCTATCCTTTAAGCATGGATCTCTGCGTTCTGCACTCTATAAAGTTTGTGGTCCCCAGATGGGTTACCTTTGGTTAGAAAGGAAAATACGTCCATTACCTGGTAGAGGACTTGAGAAGGGCCCTAGGATGAAGTGAAAAACAGCATGGCTTTTCCCACCCGGGACATTAGGTAGAGAGGAAACCCTAATGGAGCCAATATGAGTCAGTCGCCTGTCAACGCGCTGTGTGGGGGCGGAATAAAATGCTTTTCAAACCTGCCTTGTTGTAGAAACCACCGTTACCTTTTCAGTCTTCGTGTGTTCTCTCTTTTAAAACTTCATGTAAATTACGGACCAAACTGCTGATTCATGAAAGTCGAGTTATGTAACGCATTATTCCTGACAGAAACAGCTCCCACACTCCTTTAAGAGAAGCGATGTCTGTTTTTCTTTACCTGTTCCATTCCTGATAGTGGAAGCTGTGGTCTTGATTCACCCTCCCCCAGCTATTTCTTGGAGAAAAGTGATAAACCTAAGGGCTGCTGAGAGGCCCATCTTTTAGTTGGCAGCAACACACTTTTAACTTAACACTAGCTTTGAGGTAATTGCTGTTCCCGAGAAGATGGAGAATCACGTGTCGAAGGCCAGCTCGAAGTGTCAGCCTGTGTGAGGCCAAGACTGAGGGCTTCAGAGAGAATTGGGGCCGTGTGGAGCAAGCCTTGCCTTTGTTCACTTTCTCAAACTCATCCCTGTTTCCCAAGGGTCTGTAGATGGGCCCAAGTTTATCTCTGTGTAGCCACAATTCTGTTTAAAACCAAACTGTATAGAGCTCCGTTGGGAGAGTGTTTGCCTGGTGTTCTGGAGGCCTGGATATGACCTCCTTTGTCATCAATCAATCAAACAAACAAAACCAACGATAAAAGCCTAGCAGGGTATGATGTCCCATCCCTGTAAAGGCTGGGGCCTTTGAATCCCCAGTTTGAGTGTAGCCTGGACTACCTAGCTAGACCCTGTCTCAGAACCAAACAAAATAAACCCAATGCTGTTCTCCTTGGGTGGGATTATGGGTGAGTTTAAGAGGCAGTTGCTGCAGGGTGAGGGGCTGATCTTTTGCAAGGTGGAAAATAGATGTGTGAGTGAGATACGAGATGTCAGTGAGACTCGGTGGGAGATTCCTGTGTAGTACAGCCACACAGTACATGGTTTCACCATGAGGACAAATATAGGGAAGACCTAAAGGGTCCTAACACCTGGGAAGGGCTAAATGTTCTACCACCGTGGTAGCTTTTCAAGGACAGAAGCATACAAGGACTGTAGCTTACACGTGCTAGAGTGTTCTTAGAGGTAGGTAGCTATTTCTTTTCTTTTCTTTTCTTTCTTTCTTTCTTTCTTTCTTTCTTCCTTCCTTCCTTCCTTCCTTCCTTCCTTCCTTCCTTCCTTCCTTCCTTCCTTTCTTTCTTTCTTTTTTTGTTTTCTGTTTTTTGAGACAGGGTTTCTCTGTGTAACAGCCCTGGCTGTCCCGGAAGTGGCTCTGTAGACCAGGCTGGCCTCGAACTCACAGAGATCCACCTGCCTATGCCTCCCGAGTGCTGGGAATAAAGGCATGCGCTACCACTGCTTGGCTAGGTAGTTTTTCCTTTAGGCCACAAGGTGAGGGCTTTACAGATGATTTAAAAAATAGAGAACTGATGTAATGGCTTGAACCGTCAGAGCATGGGTGATCTGACTTGATTAGTGGCCTGGATTTTGTACCTTTTTAAGGGTTTACTTTTTGAGACTATCTGTCGTACTGAGATGCCATTGTTTGCACTGTGAGTTTGCTCTGGGATTTTAAAGAAATAACCCTGCCTACATAGCATGGAGTGCTTAGTATGATTCGGGTTAACTGCTTCATATATGCACATCTGTTGTGTACATGTTTGTGTGTGTGCGGATACGTATGTGTGTGTGTGTATATACATGTCTGTACAGGCGTGTGCACTTGTACATGAGGCTAGATGTCAACCTCAGGTGTTATTCCGTAGGAGATATCCACCTTGTTTTTGAGACAAGGCCTCTCACTGTGAACTTGACAGGCTAGGTCAGCCGGCCAGTGAGCCTCATAGAACCCACCTGTCCCTAGGACCGAAATTACAAATGCATGCCACCATTCCCTGATTTTAACATGGATTCTGGTCATCAAACTCGGAATCTCATGCTTGCATGGCAATTACTCTGCCAATGGCGCTATCTCCAAGCCCCCTGCCCCCCAGTTTTCTGCTCTATTTGCCAAGTGAGCCAATGCCAAGCATTCTGTTCTCTAGTTAAGATGTATTTTATAACACTCATCTATAAAAAGTGGGATTCTGGGGTTGGAGAGACTGGCAGGTAAGAGTACTTGCTTTATGGTCCTGAGTTTGAATCCACCCACATAAAAACGAGGACATGGATGCACAATCCCTGTAACCCAGCTCTGGAGAGTGGAGACAGGTGGGTCCTGAGACTGGGTGATCAGCTAGCTTAGCCGAAAAGCCTAGCTTCCAAGTCTGTAAGGAACTGGCTAAGCGATAAGGCAAGAGTGATAGAGTAAGAGCCTGGCTCTGGCCTCTGTGTGAATGTGCACAGGCACACAGACTCACATATGTGCAAGACACACACACACACACAC